GGAAAGAATATTTTTATATTTGGTGGAGCTGCTCATATATCATCTGCATACATTTTTTCTGCTTACTTTTGACTAAATGTTTTTTTGTTTTTTTCAGGTGCAGAGCCAGAATTTTTTTCTTCGGAAAGCAAAGCCACTGAAACTGCATATATTACAAAAGCATACTATTCGCTGCATGTCTGACAATTGTATAAAGTTTTGCAGGTCGTCTTTTTTTTTTTTGGAGAAGTGCTGTCAACCAAAGCATAAATATGTGTTTCTCTGTACATAAAAGTTCAATTTCACACGATTTGTTAATATTAATGTATGATAATAAAAACTTGATAATATTTTTCTGGATTTTTGCACTTTATTTGTATCATTGTCATATGAGAAGTACTCTTGTCCATATTTAGAGATATTGAAACTAATTCAGGGCCACAAACTACATGTAGATCTGTACATAAAGTACATGGGAAGTAAAGTTGTTGACACAGGTAATGTACACCAAGGATTGTCATTCATGACCTGTTTGATTGGATAAAGTTTTACGACTTGGAGGCCATTTTTCCCCTCAAAAATCTAAAAAAAACAAGCTTTTTCTAGCTGTTAACAGCTTTCTCTCAGATATGTGTCATCCAGTTTTGTTCAAAGTTGGTACAGGGACAGGTAATAATTGTTTACAAGTGCACATCGCATTATATGTTTAACAAGTTATAAGTTGTCTCAGAAAAGCCAATATATTTTGAATATATTTTTACCCCACCCCCTGAAATTGTAACACATCAATTCTGAACATTTAATAACAGAATTTTAATACAGCTCATAATGAATTAATTCACTCTGACACAAACTAAGTTCAATATAAGTTTTTAAATTTTTTTCTGAGCAGTGGCTATGACATGACATGTCATGTCTTGTTATATATAAATATTATTACGTGTTCATTGGATTTTTGTTTTTATATTCTGCTTTAGTATTTTGTGGGTATCTCATTTTATTTTATTATATATTTTTATTTCTTTTTTTTTCGTTACTAACCTCAATTTAGTCTGTTTTTAGTTGTCTTTTAAAATCTTAGCCATTCTAATTTGATTCATTTTTATTGACTTCCATTTGCAGTTAGTGAGTCCGTGTGTGTGTGTCTGTTTGACTGATATCTCAAGAACCATACATTTATTTTTGATGAAACTTGGTGCATAGATGCTCTGGGTCAATGCGTAGATTTGATTAGGTTTTGGTAAAAACCATGCATATTAATTACCTAATTTGCATGATAATTAGCTGATTTTTAGCTGTTCCATGATTGTTCCACTGATATCTAAAGAACCACTCATTGGATTTTGATGAAACTTGGCACATAGATGCTCTGAACTAATGCACAGATTTAATTAGTTTTGGGTAAAAATCTGTGCAATATTAATTACCTAATTTGCATAATGATTAATCAATTTTTGGCTTTTCCACTGATATCTCAAGTACTAATCATCACATTTCAATAAAACTTGGTACATAGATATCAAAGGACACTGCACAGACCTGATAATTTTTAGGGTAATATCAGTATATATTAATTACCTAATTTGCATAATTAATTAATTTTCAGCTTTTGATATTTCTAGTAGTAATCATCACATTTCAATGAAACTTGGTACATAGTTACTTAAGAACTGTGCAGAGACCTGATTAGTTTTGGGGTAAATATTTGTGCATATTAATTACCTTATTAACATAATTAGTTAATATTCAGCTTTTCGCCTGATAACTCAAGTACCAATTATCATATTTCAATGAGACTTGCTACATAGATCCTCTAGGACTATGCAGAGACCTGATTAGTTTTAGGGTAAATAATTGTGGATATTAATTACCTTATTCGCATAATTAGTTAATTTTTTTCCATGAATGTTCCACTGATATATAAAGAAACACTAATTAGATTTTAATGAAACTTTTACAGAGTATTCATCATCACATTTCAATGACTAAGCAGAGACCCAATTAGTTTTTGGTAAATATTTATGCTTATTAATCACCTAATTAAAATAATTAATTTACACTGATATCTCAATTACTGATCATTACATTTGAATAAAATTTGGTACATAAATGCTCTAGAATTTTGGGTTGAAATTTGTTCATATTAATTCTCTAATAATAATTCATAGGTTTTTTTTTCTAATCACATTTCAATGAAACTTGGTACATACATGTAGATATTACATTACGCAGGCCTTATTAGTTTTACACTCAAATCTGTTCATATCAGTTACCTGATTTACATAATTAGTTTTCAGCTATTCCATCAATATCTCATTAATTAATCATTCAATCAATCAATTAGTCGGACTAATGGTCACACCGGTGGTTGCTGGACGTTTATATGTCCAATCTGTCACTGATTCGTTAAATCAATTAATCATGTGGATCATGATCATGCTTGTTGACAGTTGTTGTTTTATCAATCAATCAATCCTTATTTTTTTAGCTTGAGGAATGGTGGCTTGATACAGCATATCTTATACCCAGAGATTCAATAGCAGTCAGTGTTAACTACAGTGGTCCATTTCCTCTGTGTTATGACTTATGGCCTGCAAAATATGGAACACAGATGGAAAGAAGTTCAATGTTAATATATGCCTACGGATATCAGTGGAATTTACTTAGAAAGTATGTAGTCTTTTATACATAGTAATGTTGTTTGTCCTCAATATCACGTATACAGTGCCAGTACCAGAGTAAGATACTGTTTTTAGTCCCTGGTGGACATAGTCCAAAACGAGGACTTATGTTTTGGGTTCTGTCCATGTGTCTGTTTGCTCGTCGTCATTTCTCTGAGACAGATTATCTTCAAAGCTGGTACAAAGACAAGTCATAATATTTTTGATTTGGTTGACCTTTGACCGACTGTCGGCCATTCCCCCCCCCAAAACACCAAAAATCAACATTTGGACATGTCATCAACCGTTTCTCAGACATGCCTTGACCGATTTCATTCAAACTTGGCATTGACATCAGTCATAGTGGGTTACTGATGTACTTCATTTTTTTTGTTATTCAATTCAAAATGGCTGACTGGGAGCCATTTTGTTTTTTAATAGTGTTCTGCCCATTTTACAGAGATGATTTTACGGATTGGGTATAAATTTGGTATAAAGGCAAGATATAATGGGTTAAACGTTGTTTTAAGTTATTTTTGGATTCAATGAAATGGCATTACTAATAAACACTTTCACTTGTACTCTGGTTTGTCTTCATTGCCAACAAATTTCAGGTACAACAACTTAATTATTACTCTTCATATTGGCAAGCATGGTTGAAATTTGCCTTCAGTTGATATCTGCCTGTCTCCCTAAATGTACATTGTGAATGCAAGTACATAGATGAAGCCTTTATAAACCATTGAACAATGGAATGATAACCAATTGCTGACTTTTGGCTGTCATGTGCATCCTTCTGTCTATCATTTCTTGTGCATGCCTGGAGCGATTTTTTTATTCAAAGCTGGTCCATCATAAGTCATGATACATGTGAATATGGGCTTTGTTCTATTTTATTGACCTTCAACTGACAACCATTAATTGTCTCTAAAAAAAAAAAATTTGGACATTTGTCATTAAAAGTTTCTAGGGCATGCTTTGACCAATTTCATTCAAACTTAGTCTTTATACCTGTTTCATGCACATTTGTACTATCTCAATATTTAAACATAATCTGACTACCGGTATGCTTTTTATTGTTTGACAAAGTCACTAAAAACACAACAGGAACTACGTCATTGACTTATTCATTATGGATCAGTCTATTGAGATATATTGTATTATGTACATTGACTTTGCTCTGCTTTTCAGCTAAACGCAACACAAAAGTCAGTGGTTTTTAACAATTTGTTGGTTAGTATTTTGAATAAATCCTATTACTGTTTTTATATTCAAGTGAAGTATTTCCTGTAGTCAAAGCAAAAGCTATGGGAAATAAACCAATGTGTATGAACCAAAACTACACAGTATTTAATGTGTGTCAAGTGCCTGGAATCCACAAGGATCATCTAGTTTCTGCATTTAGAACAAGTAAGTTAAATGACAACATCAGTTAAATGACAACATCAGTTAAATGTGGATGTTGGTTGGACACAAATTGAGC